TTCTCATCTGATCTACGGATGCAAGATTGTGCAACCAAATTTTTAGAACGGGCGAAACTGCCAATCGAGGGACTGTCTGCCTTGTGATACGGAAACAGAAAGTTAGGCAACAGTGGACCTCAGGAGTTAAATGTTAGTGACCTCAACTGACGGATCGCCAACCTTATCGTTTCTGGATTCATAAAACGCCCCAAATATGATTGCTCCGTAAAATGCCATTTGAATATTTTACTGGCTCCAGATACTATACACCGGGTTTTCTTTTATGTCTTGTGGTATCTATTCATATCTCATCTAGTCCATGTAGGTGTACAAAATTTACCCACTAAATGAAGTGTGTGTCCCCAATATTGCTCATTGATTATAAAACACTTTGGTGAACTATGTCGTCCACAATATTCAAAATGTTTTACTACCGGTCTTAAACAGTCCACAAAACCTGTATCATTTCACCCGTGAAAACAATGTTATCAGTTACTGAATTCAAAATTGATTTGACTTCTTGATCTTCAAAAAAACATTTCACTCATCTTCATGATAAGTTTCTGCGACTTCTAATATCTTTTTTCTTTGGATCGCCTCGAAAGTGTTCGTTTTGTTATTCAGTTTGACGGAGTCAGAATCCATTGTAATCAATCCTAACGTTTCGGTACACTGGTTTCTGACCTCTCACACTCGTTGCACTTCATTTCCAGGCATACACCAGTCAATTGATCTCGCTGATCATGTTTGCGCTGGTTCTTTCCGAGGATCGAATCTCCTTACAGGCAAGACGTGCGGATATTATTCAAGGACTGCACAAAATCTCTGGTACGTCACATCCTTGTTGCTTTACATGCAAGCTCTATTCAGTTGCAAGTATTGACGTCATGTGACACGAACAGAATCTTACCTGGTAGACTGTCATGTCATTCGACACTTATTCCATCACTTCCGTCTGCAGCATTTATCCAATCCTTACCGGTGCCTAGAAAAAGTTGAGGCATGTATCAGCAGTTGCACCCCGGTAAGTTACCCAAGAACAAGCGTATGCCAGGGAACAGGTTCCAATTGAATGGTGTGAATCGGTCATCATACCGATTTACAAGAAAGGTGTCAGATCCTCTTGTGAAAACCACAGAGGAATTAGTTTGATCAACATGATCTCTAAACTCCTCGCTGGTATTATACTCTGTCGGTTGTCTGCCGCACATGAACGGTGTACGCGTGAGAATCAGGCTGATTTTAGATTGGTCGAGGTTGTATAGATCACATTTTTACCCTTCGACAAATTTCAGAACACAGACACCTAGTCTGAAAGCGGCTTTCGACTAAGTCGATCGCTCTAAACTCCGGTGCTGCCTTTCTCTGAAGGGTGTGCCCGAGAAGTTTATTTCAATTTATGATCTCTTTATGCTCACAGCCGAAGCCGAGT